CAGTCCATCTCTTTTGAGAGTAGAGGGCACGCCTGGGCAGGGCTCAACTATGGCCCTGCTGCGTTTGGGGGGACCTGCGACAGAAGACAGTTTGGCAGCGTTTTACCCTGAAATGAACTTGCCCATCTCCTCCCAGAATGAGCTGGCTGCTTTTTAGCTGCAGCCTCAGCAGTTCCTGGAGATTTTGTTGGTTTAGGACTAAGCAAGAAAAGTGGGCTCCTGGGCAGGGAGCTCAGCAGGGGTTCCTCCCTTCAAAGAAAATGTGCTGCGGTTAAGAAATCTCAGGCCCTGCTGTTAGCGTTTGTGACCCTTATCCTCCCTCTGCCTCGGAAAGCTGGGCTGGGTGTTGGGTGCAAACACAGAGGCAGGACTGCACCCCAGTAATTGATTCACACTTTCGGTTGGGCTTACTCATGCCATGACCCTGAGAAGATGAGCTAATGTGGCTGTTCCTCTGTGACATTAAAGTGCTTTTACACAGCATCTGCTCCTGAACCTGGCAGACATTGGGCACACACATGCCCTTAGAGAACATTGATAAGGAAAGCCAAGAAGTCTTTGGTCTACAAGAAATTTAAATGGACAATTAAACTAGAAGAGAGGGGCTGGCTGAGATGCCATCTCACCCCTGTTGCCCACTGCTTCCCTGGCAGGCCTCTGAGGCTAACTTGTTGGGCTCTTGCCCTCTCCTCCAGGCACCCCCATCCTGCCGTGGCCTTTTTCCACCCCTGGAGTCTTGCGCTTTTGGACTGCAGGTGCCCGCTGTCTCCTGCCCTGCAGCTCACCTCTGCCTTCTCAGGGCCTGTGAAACTGTAGCCAGCTCCCCTTAAACAGCATGTGGTCCAGGAGCTGAGAAAGTTGGGCTTACTCTTGCCCTCTTCAGGACTTGGCGTAGTTTGCTCTTAAAATCGGCCTGCCTCACAGGTAAGCCGGGTTGAATAAGGAATAAGTGGGGTGCTTTCAACCCATTAGCCCTTCTGATCAGGATGCACCCTGCCAGAGTCGCTGGGATTGACACCGCGATGGGTTCCAATAAAACTATTCTCTTGCCCAAGGGTATTGACGATGAAGCAGAAAAATGCAATTAACCTTGACTAGTTTGGGTCACTGGCCCACGCCTGCTTGTTGCTTGCTGCCTCAGTCCCTTCCCTGAAGAATAGACAAACCATAGAGAACGAGAACCAGGCTCTCCAGGGAGGGGCAAGCCCACGACTTCTCCCAACCTCAAAGCTGCAGAATGATGCTGAGGGGCTCACGAATCATTCTGTGCACCATGTAGTGAGAGGAAATGGATTGCACTTGTATGCACTGTTATTTTCAACTATGTGTGGGTACTATTGTGGATCATAAAACACAAGTTTATTTTTAATGGGTGCTTCATAACTTATTTTGACCCAACAATAACTTTGGGAAGAGAATAACCTCAGAGGTGTAGCTGGATTTGGGTGCTCTGCCTCAGCTCACTTGTCCTGAAGATAAACGTCCTCAGGCTTGGAGCCCTGACTTGGGGACTCAACAGTAATCACCTGTCAGCCCGAGGGCCTGTTTCTTCAGTATAATCAATGGCACAATATTCAGCACACAGCACGTGGGTTAGCCATAGTATGACGGCAACTGCAGGCAAAGGGAAAAGAAGATAGAACTCACTGCACTTTGCCACCCAACCAAAAGAGAAGACTGCCTGCCACAGAATATTTCAGAAAGCCCCAGACTTAGGGCAGAGAGACCACAGAGAGGAAATACTAGGACACTGCTGGCACCTGGAAGCGCAAGCGGACCCACAAGGCCAGAAGTTTAAAACTCCTAAACTCTTGCCCCTGCCAAAAGCTTTGTAGTAGGAAGCCTACCATGATGAGTCAGCTGAATGTGACACCACCGTCCCGAAGGCTGCCTCAGGCCACTCCACCAGCCCCAGACGTTGAGCACTCCATGAGAGGGGCAGGTTGCCACTCTCTGTGAAAGGTGCCACAGCAGTGCCCTGAGTTGATTCTGCCTTTAATTTAAACTTCATGGAGTTCTGCCCTAAGGAGAAACTCTGTTCCCACCCCTCTCCCCATTCCCCTCACCTCCCACCCTCCAGCCTTGGAGAAACAGCAAAGGAAGACGGTTCTGTTTATTAGCCTACACAAGAACCTTTTAGCTCAGAATCATGCACCTACCACTGGTAAATGGGAACCTAAGGGAACCAGGACTTCATGGTGTGGAGCAGTGCTTTCACCAGATGTTGAGAAATAACAAGAAAAAGATCCTTTTTTATTGATATAGGAAATGTATAATGAGATATGTGGGGGTTTGTTTTTTGGGGTTTTTTTTTTCATAAATACCTGAAGAGGAAAGCTACGCTTCCTTTTTTTTCCATGAAGTGGGAAAATTCAGGTTGGAGCTACTAAATGTAAGGTTCTTACCAGCTAAGAGCCCTATAAGTGTATTTCAGCTGCCAGCCTATGAGAATGAGTTGTTTTTATGGAAGGCATGATTCTTATGAAAAGCCGTGTGAGTTCTATCACAGAAGCACCTTTTCCCACATGGCTACCCCGGGCTCCTGTTAACATGGTGGTTGTATGTATGCAAGCAAACTTCTTCAGCCATTAAAACTCACCCCAGCTGATGCCGTGCAGTATCCAGCTTGGTGCAAAGTAAAACATGTAGAGAAAAATATTCATGATCTTCAACTGTCTCTTAATATTCCATTTCAGTTGCTCTGAGAAGGATAATAGCACAGGACATGCTGCTTGGGATAGAGTTGAACATACTTCCGCTGTGCCCCGGAGAACGTTAAGAATGACTTTAAGCTCTTCCCACACTCTGGAGCCTCACTAGGGAAATAGTTGACCGCCCTGCCCCAAAAGACAGTTGTCAATGGAATCCTTTGAAAGACCTGGTTCGCGTGGCCCACTGCCCAGAAGTCCCACTGTGATTCCTGGCAAGTCTCTGTCCTGAAAGTAGCTCTTTCTGGTGGCAAACCAAAGAGGGGGAGAATGGGGCCCACGGCCTCAGGATGATGTTGTGAGGAGGAGTGTGGGACAAAGAGGAAAAAGAGTGCCCACACGGCACCACCTTCCTCATTTGAGCTGTCTATTCATTCATCCTCCCAGTTCTCCAAGGATAAGCTTAAGATGTTTGCTGAGAAATTTGATATCCTGCCCTAATTCTCCTTGAATTGTATAGGGTGAGCCAGCTGGAAGGGAAGAGGTGAAGTGTAAACCTTCCACTGAATAGGGCCAGGCCCTTTTGCAATAACCTATGGCCTTGGGCCTTGGCGCAGACGGGATACTTTGGATCTTATAAGACAACCTTGATTTGGTTGCAGAATGAGACACAGACCCAGTGGAGATGATTATCTCAGCTGTGGAGACCGCTGGGGACAGGCCCAGAGATCAGTGTCTTGCAGCGCTCCCAATGTTCCGACGGTTCCCTGCAAGTCACTCTCCTCCCAGCTCATCCCAGATACCCAGCCAGGTCCCTGAAGGAAAAGGTTATGAGTTTAGACATGGCCTAATTTCCTCGCATTGTGTAAAACCTTTTAGCAAACCCTCTACTCTTTATTATTCAGTTGTTTAGTTAGTAAATAATTACTGAGGACCTACCTGCCATATGCCAGGCCCTGTGCTAAGTTCTGGGGGAGGGCTCCTGGTCTCATGAATATTATAGCCTGGAAAGGGAGCAGACAACAAATTAACAAGATAATTACAGATTGCTGTCAGTGCTGTGAAGGAAATAAACAGGATAAAGGAGATAGAAAGTAACTGGGAGGGGTATTCTATAGGGAGGACCACTCTGCAGAGAGGACCTTTGAGCCTAGACCTCAAGGACAGAAGGAGCAGCCATGGGGAGCAGGACGAAGGAAGAGCGAACCAGGCAGAGGGAATACAAAGGTACAGAGGCAGAAGAGGTTGGGGTTCAGGAACAGACGCTGTGGTCTGACAGTAGTGAGGAGAATGATTTGGGAGGAGTTCAGCGAAGAGACAGGAGCCAGGTCGCGTAGGGCCTTGGAGGCCATGATCAGAGTTTGGATTTTATTCTGAGAGCAACAGGAAGCCACTGACAGTATTAAGCAGAAGTGGTAATGTAATTAAAGATCACTGTGTGTGCACTGCTGCCTTGTTTGTAGTAGCAGATTACAAACACATTCCATCAATATGGAGCTGGGTAAATAAATTGAGGTTCATTCCAGCAGTATGCAGCGTTTAAAAACTGTGCAGGGCCGGCCGAGTGGCGCGATGGTTAAGAACTGGCTTGGGACGCCAGAGGGCCCCGGTTCGGATCCCACATATGAGGGCCAGCAACGTCCTCCACAACTAGACTGAAGAACAAAAGAACAGCAACTTGTCTGTTCCCCTTCCCCCGATTCCCCAATGCTGTTCCCCTCCCTCAATCCCACAATAAAATCTTAAAAAAAAAAGACATGTCTGGCTCTCACTCTCCCCATTCCCCCCTCTCACACATCCCCCACCCCTACTCCCACCCCCACCCCCCAAAAAAAATGTCTGATTTGTGGTTATCCCTGTTGCTATGTGGAGAGAGGATGGGAGCAGAAGCAGAGAGCCTGTTAGAAGGTTCTGGCTGTGATCCAGTTGAGAGATACTGGTGGCTTGACCTGCGGGGTTGGTAATGGGGATAAAGAGAAGCGAATGGATTCAAGATATCCTTTAGAGGCAGAGCCAGCTGGACTTGGTGTATTCCACACGGATATGCCCTACTCCCAAACTGACATTCCCTAGGAAAGCTTTGTGCATTAGAGATGGAACTAGATGGAACTAACTCTACTCTGACTTGTCTGACGTTTTCGTAGAAGGAAGCATTCTTGGGCCCCTTCCAGGTGCTAAAAGCCTCAGAATTGCAGAGAGTATCTAATGTATCACAATACAGAGGACATAGTTATGGCCATGTGCCCCTTGCCTATCTTCATGCAATTGTTATAAATGATTCTTAATGACCATCAAAACAAAGTTCCACTACAGAAGCCCTCTCATTTCTTAATGGAGCTTCTTTCTTTGCAGAGAGATGCCAAAGGCCAGTACCTGTTTGACCTTCTTTGCCACCACCTGAACCTACTTGAGAAAGACTATTTTGGGATCCGCTTTGTGGACCCAGACAAGCAGCGGGTGAGTCAATATTCAAAGCACAAATGGAGGAGAGGGTCATTAAGCCTGAAAGCTTTAAGCTATCACTCATATTCAGAGTTTAGACTCAGGAGTCAGGGACCAACAAGACCCTGCAGCTGGGTGTCATCTCTTCAAATCATATTATGAGACCTGAAAGATACCTTAGCAGAGCTCGCCTAGTATACCCATCATTTTACAGATGCTGAAATGGCAGCCTAGAGAGCCGCAGTGATTTGCCCAAAGTTGCCCAGTTGAAGGCAGAGCAGCTGGGCTAGTGTTGTGGTCTTGAAGCCCAGGTCATAGGCTGAGTGCCCTTTCTAGTAAACAGGCTAAACCACATTGTCAGGTTAGGAAGGGCCTCACCTGAAGGGCCACACCAACCCAGTCTGGGGAGGGGAGAGAGCTGAATTGATGGGGGCCTTTCAGCACCTTTCAAAGCTACAATTCTTATTCTGTTCTATGCAACATGGGCAACTCTACAGACACAAGGCTTTGGCGAGGACTGCGATACTCCTGACAGACCTAGGAACAAGTCCATTATCCCCAGACCCCTGCCTACCTCTCCAGCCCAACCTCCCCTGTCTCCTCCCTGCTGTGGCTCAGCCAGACAGTACCGTGACCTCAGACATGTCATCCTTCTCTCTTTTCAGAGCCTTTACCTGTACAGTTCCCACTGCCTGGAATATTTCTTCTCCCTTCCCTTCCTTCTCCACTCTCTACACTTTTTTTTTTTTTTTGGCTAACTCCTTCTCACACATAAGGTCTTAGCTTAGACTTCTACTTCTTTCAGAAGTCTTCCCTAACCCTCCCACTCTGAATAAGGGGGCCTACGTGCCCCCATATGCCCTACGTGCCCCCATATGCCCTGTACTACACCTGTCATAGCACTATGCTGTGATTGCCTGTGTGCTCTGCAAAAATATAAGTCCCACGAGGGCATAGACTTTATCTCATTCATCACTATACCCCATGGAACTAGTGTGGGGCCTAGAGTGTAATGGATGTTTAATATTTGCTGAAGGAGTAATGAGTGAGTTAACGGTCAGTGGTACCATAGTTCTACCCTCCACTTGCCCAGCTAGCCCACTAGCAGACACCTGCAGTTTCTACAGCTTCTGCCCATCAGCCCTTTGCGCTCTGTGGGGATGTACTCTCTGGCATCCCCATTGAAGTGGGAAAGTATGCAGAAGCATTCAGGCCTCAATGTCTCCCTTCCCTATACCCCTGCCTACTACCCATTCTTCTCTACCACCCTTCAAAAACATCGCTATGAATTCCAGAGGGCCGCCTTTCATGGATCCACTAATTTTCTGCACAGCTCTGAACTTGGGCTTCACCTTTGTCACCCTTAGGGAACCTTGGAAGGAGCCGGAGGGCGCAGCCTCCCAGCCCTGCCCAGGGCCAGAGATAACCCTGAATGGAACCCCCTCACCACTCCAGAGTCAAGTGCTGCTCTGTGCTTTGATGCTCTGAGCCACTGTGTCTCCAGATCCCATTTAGGGTTTTATGCTAAACACATCAGCTTTAGGAAAGAATCAAAAGGACTGTATCCCTTTCTTTTGACAAGCTCCGTCCCACTTCACTGACATATTTCCTTCCTCCAGGCTCAACAGAATTTTGAGCATCATCAGTGTTTGCAAAGTAGTGTTGAGGTCAGTCCCTCTCCCGTAAAGGCCCCACTGACTTGACATAAATACTGTCCTTAGCTCTGGACCACAGAAGACCCCAAAAATGCCGGGACACCAGGCAGCTACCTGTCCTCACATGCTGTAGTTGTCCATTTCACTATATGATGATGGACTATTTTTACACAGGGGTTTTTGTTGTTTATCTTTTTTGGTCTTAACTGTCTGTCCTTAAGAAGGAAGGCCAGTTACCCCAAGGTCTCTTCATCTCTCAAGTAGAGTGGGGGATGAAGGGGAAAATGTGTCTTGTTTATTATTTTTAAGTTAGGTCAGAATGTGCTTGAGGAGAATAAGAGAGGATGTAGAGGTGATTAAGATTAAAAGCAGAAGGAGACAAAGAAAAATAAGGAAATAGGAAAAAGGAGAAATAAACATTTATGGAGTGGCTGCTGTGTGCCGGGCTCTGCCCTGAGCACAAACCTAAATCTTTCAGCCCATGGGTACTGGGCACTGAGCTGTGCCAGGCTCTAAGCAAAAAGCTTCCCATATGTTGTTATTTGATCCTCACCACAGATGAAATGAGTATCCACAATTATATTATTCCTTCTCCAGATGAGTAAAGTCTCAGAGATGTTAAGTAACTTTCCCATGGCAGATGGCAAAGCCTGTCTCCAGCTCTGACCTGCCTGACTCAGGACCTGTGTTGTTTTTAAGGTTCCATGTTAAATTCATACCTGAGAGCCTCTAAAGCTATGTGATTCTCTGCCTTTATTGAGGGGTTAAAGAGAGCAGGGAGGCTTGAGAGGGTACTTGAGAGTTGTGGGGAAATGGGCCTGTAAAGAATTGTCATCCCAGATCTACTGATTCAGGATAGAATGGAGGAGGTAAGCTCCCCAGTTCCTCCAGGGTGTGAGGCCCTAAGATAACCCTCCTCCCCTGGGGCACCAGGCAGTCTGAACCCAGAGCTCATGTCCATCCCATCCCTGCTTGTTCTGCAGCGGTCTCCACGGGGCCTGGCCCCTGGCCCCTCCTAGAGGAGCTGCCCTCACTCACCCTCTCCCGTTCCTGGCTCAGCCTCTCCTTTCAAGCCTCTAGAGTCTGAATATTGTGCCAGATTGGCCCATTCGCCCAAATGCAGGAGGAAATTCCCCTCTCCGAACCTTCTTTTCTTCTTCTCCTGACCCTGCCTCCCCAAGCCCGTGTTAACAGTTGGCTAGTGATTCTGGGACTCAGACTGAGCCAAACAGATGCAAAAGGGAACTCTGGCCATCACCATATTCTTGGGATCCCTTCAAGATTTCTCTACTAGACCATTCAAATTTCTTGGACAAGCTGTGACAGCTTTCCACTCCCTTCTCACCCAATCTCCTCCAGCCTCACTTCTTTCTTCAGCTCTCACTTTAGCACAAACTAAAGTCTTCTCTCCGGCTCTTGCCAAAGGGAATAGTCTTTTCATCACTCAGCTCCATCTGCCTTCTGCTGATAGTGGATCTCACAAGTCATTCCTCTTAGTTTCTATCTTTGTGTATTTTAATCTGTCGCTAGGATGTCTAGGGGTGATCTGTTTCCTGAGTCCCAGACACTTGCGGTGTTCTCCTCCCTCTACAAAGTTCTGGTGTGTTCTGGACAGACAGGTCTCCTCCATCTTCACCAGCACAGCCTGGAAACCCTGTTGTTTCCGTACAATTTCACGTCTTGCCTTTGCTTCCCTGTGAAGCCAGCCGCAGTGGGCCATGTAATGTGAGAAGGACCTCTTAACCACATTGAGTGGCTATAATGAGCTGCCAGCCTCATGGGAACTCAGATCAGAGGAAGCAAGAGAGCAGCATGTCAGCCCAGATTATCCATGTGGAGCTGACGGGAGAACTGGCTCTTAGTGGGTCCATTAACTGCATGACCCATGGCCCAGCCCAGAAGGTGAGAGCTGGCAATCGGGGCAGGCCAGGATGCCGTCTGCGTGGCCCTGGCTGCTTTCCTGGCCAAAGGGAGAACTCTGCCAAGATGTTACACTAAATGGAAGCAGCCAGAAAAGAGGGAGGTGTGGACCCGGGTCCTTCGTCCGTTCAATAGCCGCACATTGAACACTGTGCTGGGCGTGGGCGATACAGGGTACACAGGACAGTTTTCTGTCCTCACAGAGCTTATGACTAATGGGTTTAAGCTACTCCCAGGTAACCAAACTCCAAATAATAGTAGTTCTAACTCTCTGCAAATTGTCGTGGTTCCTGATTAGAATAAATGCAGCAAATATCAATACTGCATTTTATAAAGCATCCGTGTAGAACTTGGAAGCAGATATGGAATGGTCTCTTTGCTTCCTTCCCCCAAACAAGTATCATGGGGAAAAAAAATGTATTGCTACTATGTCCTGCCTCTATGAAAATCCAAGGGAAACAGGATACGATCGCACACATTGGTTGTGGTTAGCTATTTTACGAGACAGACTTTAAACGTCCCTGGATGCCAAGGAATCCTGAGCACGTCTCCTTAACACAGGGGCTGGCAATCCATGTTGCTCAAACAAAGATGGAATACACACCAGCCATCCCTGCCTTCTCACCATTTATGAAATTCAACCTGTCAGTACTTTCTAGAGCTGTTACCCATAGCCTCTGTCACCACACCCCTGCCAGAAATAAAGTTGGCACATAGCATAAACACACACACCCCATGAAAGTCAGTATTTCCCTCCTCAAGCCAGGCGGGGCTTTATTCCCATCACACATACGTGCATTCAACTTGTGCCTACTGGTATGGCAGAAACATGGCTCAGAACTTTGGCACCCTACTTTGGAAGGTGGCCTTGCCAGGGAAACCCAGAAATGGCATCTGAGGCTGGAACTCTTCTCCCCTTCACAGCTGGTTCCCCGGGGAGCTTATTTCAGAAAATCATATCACTCTTCACTCTCCAAGCCTACATCTCACAAGCGTTTAGCCTGCTTTACCCTGGGCTACAATCTGTCTGGTTATTTAAATTGGATAAAACTAGTTATATTTGACACTGCTTCTCATTAGGATTTTCTTGTTCTGTGTTCTCTCTTTCAGCATTGGTTGGAGTTTACAAAGTCTGTGGTGAAGCAATTGAGATGTAAGTATTCTCCAAGAAAAGACTTGAGTCCCACCCCTGGGGAGGGTGGCAGGAAACCTCCCACTTATAGTAAGTCTTGGTAATTTTCCACTATTCTGAGTATAAGTTGCTCTAAACATCTGAGGATTTTCTTCTGAGGGTTCAGAGGCCTGTGCATCCTGGTGGGGAGGAGAACCCAGTCATCTCTGGGCAAGAGGGTCTCCCCTGATGGGCACCTCTTTTTCTCTACAGCCCAGCCTCCATTCACCATGTGTTTCCGTGTGAAGTTTTACCCTGCAGACCCTGCTGCCCTGAAAGAAGAAATAACCAGGTGAGGATGAACACACCTCCCTCAGCCACTAAGACCTATTGTAAAGGATAGGAGTGAGGGACTGTGACCTCTCAGATCCTCTATTTCGGAAGCTGCTAACCCTTATAGGCAAGGAATTCTTCCTAAATAGAACCTTACTTCTGTATTTCATTTCCACATGCTTTCTTTGCTCACCCCCTCAGTAGAATTGGAACAGAAAGAGCTTCTTCCCATCAAGTGTGAACTGGTCATCTGCAAAGGGATCTGGGATAACTAATTAATCAAATATATTTTTTCTTTTACCCATAATGTGGTGACTGTGGACGTCTTTGGAGAGGGCTTTGCTTCCTTTCGTGGGGGATTGAAATAGACTCCAGTGGCCTAATGTACTTGGGAAACGCCAAAGCATGACACTGAAAGACGAGCTGGGAAATGCTGAGGGTTTTAAATCCAAGTGGGTAAATGCCAGTGTGCTGATGGATCAGGTCCGTGATAAACTCTTCCCTGTGGGCATTATGTTCTTTGCAGAGCAGGCTGCTGCACAGAACGAATCCTATCTCATCCAGCACCACTTGAGGATAAAAAAGAACCTCTGCCCACAGCCATCCATCCTATAAGAGGGTCAGTGAATGGGAGTTTCAAAGCTTCTCCAGGGTTTTGTACATCTCTGAGCCAAATTCACTCTAAAAGTAGTGCCTCAGCGATTCAGGAACTCTCTGTAACAGGAATCCTTAATTTTTACATTAGAAAGACCTCATGTTGACATAAGCAAAACCTTGATGTTCCCTTGGAGAGGGTGGGGCCTCAGGTGAGGAGGTCATGCCAGGGAATCCCAAAGCTGAGGAAGAGACAGCCCTGCCAGCTCTTTTCCTTCCCTAAAACCTTGGAGACAGCAAAGACCGACATGAGGCCATTACCAGTCATACAGGCCGTTCATACTGTAAGGCTTTGAGATTTACTTCTAGATCCTGAACTGCTTGGGAAAATCCCAAAGAAAGGAATAAGAAGGGAAGACAAAAGGAAAGAAAAATATTAATTGTTTTTACTTCCTGTTCTGAAGCAGCTGCCACTACCTTTACTTACATCAGGTAAACGGAGCAAATCTTCTCTGAGAAAGAAAAGGAGGAAATAGGGAGAGAAAAAGGGCAAGAAACAGGAACAAGTGGTACAAAGGAAGCAAAGAAGCAGGACAGGGAAGGAAGGTAGCTGCTTCGCATGGGCCCCGGTGGAGGGTGCGGGCAACCTTACAATCAGGTCTGAAGGAGCAGGATCCAGGTGCATGGAGCAGTAGACACCCACCTACTTTGAAACACTGCAGACGGGGAGGAGTGTAGTTGGAACCAAAACGCATGCTTCTTACAGGGCATAGAAACTCCAGGCTCTGCTCATCCACGTGGAAGTGGATGTGACTCCCACTTTGCGTCTGAAAATCAAGCTCATCCATATTAATGAGCAGTCCTGTAGCTTTAGGCAAAACAATGAGGGTAGACCCACTGTGTTTACAACTTGAACAGAGACAAGTTTTGGCAAAGCACTAGCCTGCCTCGCTCATGATCTCCAGCGTGTTTGCCTTACCTCTGAGCACACACCTCTCTCCCTCCCTCCCTCCCTTCCTTCATCTCTCTCCCTCTCTCTCTCTCTCTCCCCTCCCCCTTCCTCCCTCTCCCTCTCCCCCTCTCCCCCTCTCCTTTCTGATCCGGGAACATCCCTGAGATATGTCACTAATGCTTTTTTCCCCACAAAGTATTCTGTCTTTGATCTCTCTCCCCCCTCCTTCTCTCC